AAACATATGGTCTTTTTGGTTGTAGGTCTGGTTGGGTGAGGCTGGGTATCTCCTGAGATTTGTGAGGAGATGTGGCAGATCAGATTGATCCTTTTCCTGGCACCAGACAGCAGAAGGATGTGAGAAAAGCACAAGGTGTTTTCTTTGGTCTTTGTAGAGACAGAGCAAACAGAAATAAAARGTAGTGCAGCAATGATTTCAGAACATTTTGCAAATAAGATGCACTTTCAATCTTTTTGAACATTGGGACATGGAAAAGGAATGCCTGGTTGAGAAATAACTTTGAGCTRCATGGGTCATATTCAGTTTCCATCAGTGTGCAGAGAGTACAGGCTAGCTAGATTTCAGCTTAATCCCGCTAAATTCTAGCCTAGTCCAGCTAACAGCCATGTGTACRCGTGATGTTCCAAATTCATTACTTCCTCTCAGGTCCCTGGAGGCTGGCAAAAGTTACAAGAGTAATGTTGCTAGGATMTGRAACCTTCTTAGTCAGCTGTTTAGAACTAAAGGTGTTTAGTTCTAGTGCTGATATGGAAGACTTACACTGATGAGTCAGATAGCCAGACTGTCTGAATTATCAGCAGAGTTGGATGCAAAGARGACCAATGCTGAACAAGCCTTGAGACTGACAAATCCAGCAAATGTGAGTAATGGGTGGCACTGCTTGTACATCATGTGGCCACTGGAGAAGTTCAGGCTGCAGCTGATGAAGACTTTAGGACACAAATTGCAGGCTGGCAGTGACCACAGATCTGGGTGTCCCTGTCTGGATGTGACTGCTACCAACAACACCTAGATATGCCATCGTGCCATCATCTTTTTTTAAATACAATGGACTTCAAATTTAGGAAATTTTTCTTCAGTAAGACAGTCCAGAGCTGTGCTTTTCCAGTCCTTGAAAGCCTGGCCATCTGCCTCTGGGGCGGGTGAGTTCTGTTGCAGGCCTTAGATCACAGGTGATGGATGCAGCAGCATCACAGATGACACTGACAACCTGCAAACGGAATGTGATGTTTTCATTGTTGTTTGGTTTTATCTTTCTTTTTTTCTTTCACACTTATTATCACACCAGATTCATCATAGCCATTTCCTTGYATAACTCTTGCTGCAACAATTCACTCATGTAAAGTCCCAAATGAGATTAAAACCATCTGAAAAGGAACCAGAAGCACCAGGTGGTCCATTTCTTAAGTGAGACGTGACATTAAGAGTGTTCAGCTAGTCCTGGCCCATTTTTTTTAACTTTCTGCCCGATCACATTGAAATGAAAGTCACAGTGCTCACAATGCTGGTTGCAATCACAAAATCTTACAAAATCTTGCACCTATTAGAAGATGTCACCCTGTTACATACACTGTTTGGGGTTTAGTCTTTCCAGCATGGTTTGATAGCTCATTGATGTCATGTAGCTACTACACTTTCACTCAGATGGATTTCTAACGGGAAAAATAGATTATTTTATCGATAGGCTTTTAACACTGCTTGATAATTACCATTGGATTTGATACACTTGGATGTTGAAGGAAATATCACTCCACATAAATTGTGTMATTTATAAATCCATAAATGCCTGCGTATTAAAAATAACTATACCAATATCTATGTTTAAGATACGGATCTAATACTAGAGCTTGCCAGGATTAGATACTATTTCCATTATCTGAACAGTAACTGGGCAAAATCAGATCTGAGTAGTCATTAAAAATTTAGTGATGTTTTTATCTATTTTCAAATACCACTCTAAACTTTATAGTGTTTAATCTMGCTTACTTGTTAAAGGAACATAAAAAGAGGCATTAGGAATGTAGATTTAGTGTAGCACAGCCGTTAAGATGAAGAGTAATGGCAGGAAAGCCTTAGCTCTCAGATTCTCCTGCTCTACTAATGTCACCAAAAGCGTAGTACCGGGTTACAGGTATTTTTCACTGGCTGTATGGGCAGAAGGAATGGTTCCTTTTGTCCCTCAAAAGGTCTCCTGGTCCACTGMATTCACACATGGGTGTAATTTTATGTACAAGCACAGCAGCAKGAATTGATGCATCACARAAGTCTTTGTTCTCTGTGTAAGGGYACAAGCACCCAGGTTAGGAATGGTGTGTCCCCCATGCTGGKCGGTGTAGGGGTCCCACTCTAAGGTCAGCGCCAGACTGATYGAGTTAGACCTGTCAAACACTTCTGTAAGACATGATATGCCATGCTGGTTAAAAATGCCACACTTTTCAGAATAAAATGAAAATTTTGTGAGTTAGTATTTGCAACASTATGCTTTCTGATGAAGTGTAGTGAAAAAGATCTGTTTTCCAGGTGGTAGGAAGTCTGCTAGGCTAGTAGAAAAGAAACTGACTGGATTTGTTCCTGTATTTTTGTTTACTTAAACTGCTGGTTTTCAATCTGCTAATCACCAGCGTCTGTTGTCTTTTGAGGGAACAAAAACACAGGAGTACCAAAAYCGTTTATGAAAAGCTCTTAGGTGGCCAGTGGTCTAAATTTTTCCTGTATAAAGGAAGCCTTGTCCAATTTACAACAAGGTCTCAAGACTGTRTCTCCATCTGAGATTTTAACGCTCTATGCAAGAGTAAATTGGCTTGAATAGCCAAGGAAGATTTACATATTGTACAGCTGAGGGTTACTTTGTTCACTTGGCTRGTGATCAAGAACAGCAAAAGACTTCCATAAAAAGCTAAGCTACAGTAAGACACAGGTTCTGTGAAGCATCTTTTCCCTACATATTTCCCAGAATTATTTGGGGGCCACTTTAGAGATGTGGTTAAGCAGATGTCTGAATAACAGATGTTTTGATAGGGAAGAGAATGATTTGTCACTTGGCTCACCTTTCTTTATCAGGGTGACTTTCCTTGGCCAAAGACACYTTAGTTCACAGACAGTAGGAAAAGCCATAAAAAAACATGGTTAAGATTGAGTGAATCACATAAACATATAGSTCTATGTAGCAATATATTGCAAAATGAATAGACTTCAGCCACCTCTTAATGATAAACTGGTAAAAGCCATGTCTCATTTGAGGTTTCTCTCCATACCCATTTCTCTTCAGTCATCAGGGATTTGCAAGTATTCTTGGGAGTTCCTTGGAATTAAGGCTAACAGAGCAGGACGGGACAAATCATGATTTCTTAGCTGTTAGAGACAAGTTCTTGGAACTCCAAGGAGGTGTTTACATTTTGTAATTTTGACTGCAAAGATTTCTCTTAAAAGAAATATTAGTCTGTTCTCCTCTGCTAGTAAGTAATCTGTACCATTATTTGCATAAGCGACAGTTCMAGGTTATACCAATTAATAAAGGAGAGAGACACTTTTAAAATGTGGGAACTGAGTTGGGTATTTTTGTTTTCTGGCTTACTGCTGGCTTCTTGCATGGTCAAAACAAACTTGCACATGCAGCTCATACCATAAACCAGTCATTGGTCTGGCCCTCAGCAATGTGCTCCCTGTGCTGCAATTCCAAGCTTATTCTGCTTGGGAAGCCCAAGCAAGCCTTGGCTCTTGCCTAAGCTTGGTTTTCAAAGAGGTGTAATTTTCTGTTATCATTTACCTATCGAAGGTATATGAAATCTCTACATTCACATATACCACTTAGGAACAATAATTTTAGAACTTTTTTTCCTCATGAAAGCCCTCCAAATCAATATTTTTGTTCTGTTTCAGGCAAAATCAGAACACACAAACAATTACTTTGTTTGTGTCCCTTTGTAGCCTGTGGTCTTTTGAGCAAAAGTCAGTAGGCAGAAATTAATGTATGACTGAAAGGGAATGGTCTTTCTGTGGTTTCTGATGATGACTGAGGTAAAATAAGGCCAGGAAACTGTAGTTTCATAATTTGTGATAAATTACATGGTGGTGGGTATCTACTGAGTCGAGTCTGGAATATTTTGTTCCGATTGCAGTGAAAACTGCAGCTTGTACTCTTAGTTCTAGCTGCCAAATCTAAAACCATGTTTCCAACTGCTAGGCACCAAATTGAGCAAGTGTGAGAYGCAACTCTTGGGATTAATGTTAAATGAGTGAATCTTAGACCTTATCTATCATTTATTTGTCTCATGTGTGCACCCATGGATATCACAGGATTTTTAGTTAATTATTCAAGAATTGGCACGTGACCTRCATTAGCTCCTTCCTCTGAGTATCTTGCTGACAGAACAGTGCAAAGGAGCAATATCTAATCCTCATACAGCTAAAACTGCTTGTGAAGAGAAAGATCCTATTAAACTGGCTCTGTCATGTGAGTGGAAATTACACTTAATACTAAGTACTGGTTCTTAAAACAGAATATAGTTGTGCTCATACTACCAAATTGTTCCAAACTGCCATAAAAGAGTTGTAAGGTTTCATCTTCATTTCAGAATAAATCTCTGTATTTTCAGTCTATGTCATTTTRATGGATACAGAACTGTGCACTGCTACAAGACCAGCACAATATTTATTTATTCTGGAAAATATTTGTCACAAACGCATTCATTATAAAAGACTTCGTGTGCTCTAATGGTCTGATCCAGCACCATTGAATTCAATAAGAATCTTTCTTTCCATTTCTAGTGCAGGAGCAGGCCAGCAGTATGGAAAACATTCCTCTGGCCTAAAGTGCCTGGCACAAAYGTCAGAATCATTAGGGAAATAAAAGGCTGACAAACAAGCAACCCCACAGACATGCAACAAATTTGGAAGCACCTAAAAATACAGCTGTTTTCTAAAATTTGTACGTGAAACATATGTTCTGAGAAATATGGGTTATCCTGGCTATATGTCGATTTTCATTTGTAGTATTAAAAGAAAACAAMCAACCAGAGTAGTAACAGAGGAGTTGGTAAAATGCACCTTAAAAACAGCTGCAGAAAAGGTCTGGTTAGTAGATTACTTGCCTTTAAAATTGAACTTGCAAAACAAAGATGTTTTATTCATTTTTTTTCATTAATTTCACCAGATTTTTGCTTTATTCTGTTTTAAATAGCATGTTCAAAATAAAAAAAAAAAAAAAAAGGCGGGGCAGGAATATTTTTTAATGAATAATCAGCCTGCAGTTTTAACACTTGTTTGGTGTCATTACTTTAATGAAGAACTGCAAGCCACACATTTTGGTTACAACTAATTTCACACAAGTACTTCAGCCCTGGGAATTTTTAGGGCTATCCCGTGAAGGGAATCAGCCCAAGTGACATGAACCATGACATTATATACAGAACAAAAATGTGCCTGTGTGCATGCACAACCATGAGCCRCTAGCATTATTGTCCTTTCCCAGTACAGTCAGGTTATGACATGTAACCAAACTTTTTTTGTCTTGGGAAGTCCCTTCCTTCAGACGTTCACTGGAGGGGAACACCCATCTCCTTGCCACGGAGGCTCCTGCCCCAATGTAGCTGTAGACCCRTTACCACAACATCATCACAATTTGCCTGCCCAGCTTTTGGGAGCAGGGCTYCCACCAACTTCTGCTGAAGCTTCCATCAGCAGTGGTTTCCCAGTCTCTCAGCAGGAGAGAAGTCTTCGCAAGAAAGCCTGAAGCAGATGGGAGAACGGAAAGTGTTACACAGAGTAACAATCTTCTACATTGCAGACTTTTGGACTTGAGACATTCGACTTCATATTCTCTCTGTGTTTGTTTTACCCAACAAGCATCCAATAAAGACAACCAGCTGTTTGTGTCTATGACTGGTTTCCAGACAGGGACCCAGTGCATTTCAAGTCTGTCTCCTCTGGCCCTGTAATTGATTCTTCACCCCAAAGTCCAACACGCAGAAGAAATCCAGGGCAAAAAGAGACTTGTCCAAAATAGAAGACCTTTCCACAAATAAATAACATCACCTGCACATAAATCTAGATGTCATTCCTCTCCACATTGCTGTTATGCTTTCCCAGTCACAAAGGGAAAAAACTCGGTTCGTTTGTCCACTTTGATATCGTTATTTTATGTGTGGGAACATTGCCAATCTCTTTTGTGCAAGTRTCCAAGTAAAAGACCCAGGAATCCTCTTCTCCATTTGCTGGCATTAGTCTTTGGTCAAAGGCAAGCAACTTTCTGAGCTTTAACASGGCTTCAGGTTTTGCATGTGGTAAGATCTGTTGCAAACTGATTTAATATGAAGCAATTTTTAAACTATAAGAYACAATGAAGACAGAGAGAGCTAGATGAACTGAGAGTCTGGCCCCAGATGCTGTAGGAGGGTTTATATTGTCTAGGGACATGTGAGGGGAGCTGGGAGTCAACAGAGTGGTTGCCAGCCAGTCCTAGGCTGCCCAGAGCCACTGCAAAGGAAATCCCAGCACCTCTGCAGTTAGAAAGGGAAGAGGTGCTCCTCTGAAGACTTTGTTATTAAATTTTTTCTCACAGTTTTTTTTCTGTCAAAAAGATATTTTTTACTATATCAGCCACATCAGGAAAAGGAATGGGAATGAATGAATGAATGAATGAATGAATGAATGAATGAATGAATGAATGAATGAATGATGAATAAATACAAGCAAATCAGCCTCTTTCTTGCAGCAATTTTGCAAAGGGTAGGGCAGAAGACAAGGACACTTCTTTCAAAAGAGGATCTTGGACTCCTGCCATGACCATCCTTGACCCTTCCYGTAAGAGAAAGTTTTCCTGCTCACCCCTGCTCTGCTTCTCGGGGCTTCTCCCCTTCTGCACCAACTCTGCCTGAACCTATGGATCTGTCTTTTTCAATGCAAAACGAAGAAAAGGTCGGGAGCAAGCGGCAGCCCGTTCACGCACCCACCGCCCCCCGAACCCAGGGGAGTTGGCGCAGCCGCTCAATGCCCTACCCCGGGGGAGCGGCCCTCTCCGCTAACCCCCAGCTGCCTCGGCCCGGGCCGACACCGAGCAGCGGCGCTCCGGGCCGGCGGGTTTCCCTGAATCCTCATAAATGAGACTGTACATAAAGTTGCAAAARAAAAAGCAGCGGAACTGCACCGCCGCGGCCCCGCCGGCTGCAGCTTCCAGCCCAGCCCCGACGTCCCCACGGTCCCTCCGTGCGGGCGGCGGAGCCTCAGGCGGGGACACCCGGGACAGCCGCGGGGGCGGCGGCGGGGACGGCCAGCGCCTCCCKCTCCTGCTTCTTCTGCTTCATGCGGCGGTTTTGGAACCAGACCTTCACCTGGGCGTCGCGGAGGCGCAGCGAACGGGCCACCTCGAGGCGGCGGGCCCGCGACAGGTAGCGACTGAAGTGAAACTCCTTCTCCAGCTCCGTGAGCTGCCGGGTGCTGAAGCTGGTGCGTGCGGGGCAGGCGGAAGATTCCCCCCGGCACGGCGYCGCACCGCCTGCAACGCCGAAAAASACCGCGCTTCAGCGGGGRCAAAGGCAGGGGGAGGAAGCGGGGASGGGGTCGAGGCAGGAGAGGGGCAGAGGGGAGCCGGCATGCGAGCAGCCCCCGCCCGCTCCCCGCCGCCCCACTCACTTCTCCCGGGCGGGCTCCGCTTCGCTGTCATCCACTCGAAGGTGCGGGGCGCCGTCGGGGCCGCCGCGGGACCCGGGGAGCCGGGTGCGGGGGCAGCCGCGGGGCAGGGCGAGAGGTGCCGCAGCCCCCCGCCGCCAGCGCCGGGACAAGGACCGTCGGGGTCCGGCGGCGGCGGGCGGCCGCTCCCGGGAAGAATGGACGTAGCCGAGCCCGGCGGTCCGGCTCCCCGGGACGGCCGGTAGCCGGGRCCCAGCTCCCCGGGGGGAGAGACCGCGTACTCCAGCGCCTGCGACGGGGGCGCGGCGCTGGCCGTGGTGCCCAGCGCCAGGAAAGCGTCGTCCCCTCGTCGTGGGTACGGAGCCTGCGGGGCCCCGAGGCACAGCCCCGGCGGGAAGGTGAGAGCAAAGTACCCCAGGTCCATGACCCACGGGGCAGCACCGCGTCCCGCCGGGGCAATATTGCCCTAATATAGGCCCTGGAGCGGGACGGCACGTCCGGCCCCGCGGCCAATGAGAGCCCGGAGCGGGGATCCCGCACCGAGGGTCCCGGGCGCCCCCAGCTCCCCTGTCCACGCCCGGCTAGCCAGGGCTGCAGCGAGACTCCGGCTCCCGCCGAGCCGTCCCGGGATTCCCCCTGGACAGGCCGCTCCCTCTGGACTCGACGGCGTCGCCGCACACTTAGGACGTTTGCCCGGAGTTTGGAAGGTGAGTGAGCCTGCGCTTTCCCCCAATCCGGACTCCTGTCCAGGGGCAGGTCTGCGCTCTGCCCTTGCCCTGCTGCCGGCCGGGCTCCTGGAAGCTACTGCACCTCATTTAATGSTCTCGTTCCATTAGGTAAGTGCTCTCCAGCCTCTCAAAAGTGAATCCCCGCACCGTTAGCAGGCTTAATGGAGTTTTATTTTTCCCTTGGCGATTCGGCTTTGTTTACTGAGTATTTGCAGCTGGCAGAGGGCAGCAAGTKGCTCTACCCAGCCAAATCCTCCCAYTCTGTTTTGGTTTTCATGCCCCTGGAATGGCAGGAAACAGGAACCAGATGGAAGAGGCAAAATCTGAGCTCCCAAAGTGATCCTCTTTCCTGAAATGTATCCAAGTGACACTTGACCATCCAGCCTGAGTCTGGATATTTATATTTSATGTGGATAATGATAGGTTTCATCCAAAGCCTCAGCTGATAAGTGTGTGTCAGTGCAGTTTAGAACAGCAAAAGGGTGTACTGGGCAGAGCACACTTGGGCTTTGGTGACCTGGGACTGGACAGACAATCATTCTACATCATGCTGCTTTGAATTAGACCTCCAGACTTCTAATTCTTAAAAGGTAGATATGGAGTCAGCTGGGAAATGCATGGATTGTACTTTTTGTAAAAATATATTTTATTTCTAAATAAAAGCATGAAACTGAAATGCTTTCATCCATTATCCAGTGCCTTCCACTCAACAACTCAAGAAGGTCTACAAGCTCTTGGCCAAAGTGCCATTTGCTGTCATCAGGAAGAGGCCACAAATTTTGCAGGGACTGAGAATGATGCCAACCTCACGAAGGCAGCCAGAATCCCCAGAGAAGGAAAAATTCCACTGGGTCTTCTGTGGATTTCAGAGGGCTGGACTAGTGACCAGGAGAGGATGCCATGGGGAGACATAATCAGACCATTTCACTGATGGAGCATCTCCACTCTTTCCCGTGGAGATTTATACTCTGCAGCTCAGCCCCACCTGCCCCACCCAGCTGATGAATTCAGAGCAGATCTGTCTCGGTTTTTCCTGCAGGGGCCATGAGAGGACGCATTGCTGGGATGGGCACATGGAAGCCTGCAAAGGTACAGGAGGGTTTCCCTGCATGAGGACTCTGATCAGCAACACTGATCAGCCCTGATTTCTCCCYGGTTAATGTGGACTGTCTACTATAAAACAGCTATTACAGAGCAACGGCTGGCTGTATAGGTAACACATTTTAGGTGCTTGGACTTAGAATCTACAGACAGAGCAGTCACTGAAAGCTCAGAACCTTAAATTTCAGTGTTTTCCTGACACAGACTCATTCCCTCTGATGGGCTGTGATGCCCTGGTACGCTAATACTGAAGAATCACCTAAATTTCTATTTTCAGAGGATATGGGCATAAATTTGAAGAACAGATTTAAATCAAATACACTTTGTCAGGAAACATGCATTTTGAGGAAGGGGTTAAATTCTGGATGATGCAGACTTGCTCAGTGCTCCCATGGCAATCAGAGCCGTTTGGAAAAATGTTATCTTCTGAAAATTCGGAAGCCTGGGAACATCAGGTTTTCTCTTTAGCAGAGAATAGCTGTCCACACGGGACAGCATCTGTACTCTTCTGTCTCCCCGGCTGTAAAAATTCCTGCCTGCAGGGAAGGAAAGAAAATTGGCTCCAGAGCAGGGCTGCTRCTTTGCTTGAGTCTTGTGTTTGCAGAATGCAACTGGTTTAATTACACCTAAGACTGTTTTAATGCTAGAAGAGCTGTCTGTGTTCACACCAACATACCATCTTTCCGTTTACCCAGCTGGATTATGTTACCAAGTTTCTTGTTCATTACCTGTTTGTTTTGGCAGGGCTGTTCAGGGGTGGCAAATGCAGAAATCAGTGGTTAAATGCAGGCAAAGCATCTCTTATTGATGCTTTGGCTTTTGAGGGAGGACTTTTTCTACACACAGGAATTTCACACTGTTCAGACTTTTCCAGTTACCACCGGAATAGAGTGACTGCAGCTGKTTTTTTTTTCAAAGAGTCCTGTGGTGGGAAAGATGAAGGACTCCTTGGAAGTCAAAAGGAGGAAGAAGAAGAGTGGGAAAAAGAAGAATGTGAAGAACACGATGCTATGAAAGGCAATTTGAGAATGGCTGGGAGGTTTAGGGATGTCTGTGTGAGTAGTCCAGTGATGGTGTGAGACCGGGGAGCTGCTGGGGGGAAAACCCCTGTGAGAACAATGGACCAAATGAGTCTTTGTGTCACCACGCTTCTGGAAACATGTGGGCCTCTGCAAAGCCTGAGAAAGCCACTATGGAAACAAGACATGATGTAGGAAAAAGCCGGGCCAAAAAGCCCTAAATCCTGTTAGTTGCAGACACAGCAACTCACCCTGGGGAGGCTGCTTGAGCAGTGTGTGTGTTGAAGGCAATGGCAGCCCTGAGCCACAGACACTGCCTTGAGATTGGGACATGTGGCCTTTCTCCCTAGAACAAGACTCCACCCTCTGTGCTTGTCACARTAACAGGAGACCAAACAGATCCCTCTCCAGCCCCTAGGCCTGGAAGGTCTGCTTCGAGCATTAGCTTGTCCTTGCCCCTCTGCTGCTGGTTCTCAGGGGTAAATGGGGATGTCCATCCATGGTATGGTGACAGCTGAGGTGTGGGTGGGCATCCTGAAGGAAGGGAGCAAACCTGAGATTTAAGCAGTGGCCCTGTTAGTACAAACAAACCACCGAAGACTCCTGGGAGAACGGCTATTAGAGAAGGAGGAGAAGCTCTCGGGGGTTTATTTTGTAAAATATGAATAAAACCAGGGATGAACAGGGACTCTAGGCCAAGATGGAGAATTGTTCTGGCACTCCAAGGTAGCCAGCCTCAGCTCTCACACAAGCACAGCCCTCTCAGGCAGTCACTGCAATCCTCAGGAAGGTKTGTTTCCCTCTGCCATCAATATTTCCCTGCCACAAGTCCCCCTTTCCCAAATGACCCCTGGGGCAGGCATCTCTGTTCTCCCAGTATGTGGGATTAACTACAAAGATGCTCTACATGGACACAGAGGAGAGGAAAATCTATCCCTTCTTTTGTAAAGATTTGCTCTGAAGAGTGATTCCACATTGGCCCTTTGCCATGTAAAGCCCTGTTTCCTGTCTCGTGGCTGTGAATTTGATGGGAAGGAAATATTACACATATTGATAACCCAGATGTATCAAGGGAAGCCATGCTGCTGTGTGCAAGACAGAGGTGTCAATGAGTTTGCAGCCAGGATTTCTTCTTGTCTAGCCTTTCTTGCTCCCAGAGATCCTAAAATGTGGACCAGGTTTCTTGGAGAAAGGACTGAGGCAGTGTACCTCACTCAGCAAGGGGCTGCCTACTACTCCCAAAACTTCAGCTGCTGCAAGAAAAATTTCACATCAGCAAATAAAGAAAAAAAATGAACCCTGGTCTTCAAACTCTACATTCATGAGTATTTTTACCCAGAAGACATCCATCCTGTCCAGCACAAATTTTTTGCTATTTTCACTCAGCTTTGTGTTTATGGGCATTGCAGCTGAGCCTTTCTGCAATTCATCCCAGAAAGTTCGGAAAGCTTTGGGACCCTGGGCTCCAAACATTGAGACAAAGACTCACCTGTGCTCCTGAGCAGCATCTGCAGAGGCCTGGGGATGTGCAGGCACAGATACCTCACTCTGTCCTGTTTTGCATCTCAGCCCTTGTGACCAAAGGGGTTCAGTCCTGTTACTCCATGTCTCTCAGGTTTTGGGACTGGGCTCTGCTTCTGCTGGATSGGGTTTCTGCTTGGGTCCCAACTGGCTCAGGCCCAAGGAGAAGTAGGAGGAACCACTGTCACATAAAAAGTGCTCTCTGTGTGATTGATGACCCTTAATAGAGCCAGCTCTCTCACTCCCCCAGCAGCCCCACTCCAAGCAAGGGCCATGGAGCACCCACTGCTGCTTCTCACATGGGAACAGAGAGATGCTGCCCATTCAGGGATTAACTTGCCATTCARTCCCTGGAAAGTGACTGCAGCCAGCAGAGCTCTGGTCCAGCCTGTCTCGCACCTTTTAAAAGCAGAGGTATCTTGTTCATCAGTGTATAAATCACATGACACCCAGCCAGCCACCACTGCCCTAACTGCCCTGGCAGCATCAGCCCCTTTGTGCCGCTGGTCTGACTCCAGTTTTTGCTCCCAGGCAGTTCTGCAGTGGAGTGCTGGACATCTGKGCCTGTCCACCCTGCAGCACACTGCCTTCGCCAGGCTGTCATTAATGGCCACTGGGCATGCACAGCARCCTGGCACACAGAAGGATGGCGTCACAACCTGCAGCTCTTTTCTTCCCTCCTCAGCTGACTGCTGTCAGCAAGGCACCCACCCAGTGGTAGACCAGCAACCCCACCCACTTTACCCTGTTTTTTYCCCCCCAGTCAAGTAGTCTCTTTTGTGCCTGGACCTCCCTGTAGACTGTTTCAAAGGGCTTCCCATGGGGCTGGAGGGCTGCAGAGACCCCAGTGGTGGGTTCTGCCTTCAGAATTCTAGCCATGGAGCCCAAATGACCCAGCTGGCCCTCAAGAAAGTCAGGGTACTTGTAGCTGATGCTGGTGGGATACGTGTTTCTCAGCCAACCTCCTCCCTGCATGCCCCTCCATCCTGGGTGTGCAGCCAGCTGTTTCCTCTTCATCTTTGGACAAGGCTGCCTGCAGCTCTGATGACCCTGCTGTGGTCTCATAGTGAAAGCCATGGCAATTGCCCCAGAGTCCCTCCCTGGCCAGGCCAAGGACCAGGGCTGGGAGCCGRTGGTGTCTGCTCAGGAAGTGCTTGCTAATGGAGCAGGAGGTATTTGGCTCTGTTTTCCCAGCCCCACACAAGTGGCACCTACAAGATTGTGGCATCTCTGGAAGCCCCTGGCTGTCCCTGTCTCAGTGCTGCTAACCAGGCAGCTCCCCTGCCTCAGTGCTGCCTAGACAGTGGAACATTAATGGAGCCCCCTTCAAAAAAAAGCAGGGTGCAAAACAGTAGTTCAAGCTGCACTGACTGCATGGTGCTAACACAAAGCTTCATCTCCTTTTTGCAGTGGGGTAACAGCTRCAATGCCATTAAATGGTGTGTTACTGTAAAGGCCAAACTAACAAGTGGAGACCCCAACTCCACTGATCTGAACAGAAGAACTTCCATGGCCTCACTAAAGCTCGGTGCACCCGACACCYCTCAACCAGTGCTGTCAGCAGCTCCCCATGGCAAACGGTGCAGCATCAATGCTGGCATTTAGAGGCCCTGGCTCAGTGACCCTTTGGTTCTGGAGCAGATGGAGGGAACAGRGAAGGAGAGGAAGGGGTGCTATGCCTCCTATTTGTAAAGAAGGCAAGGCTAAGGTCAGCCYCAGGCTTGGCCTGGTTGACTAGTTGTGTTTTAAATAGGTGACTGGAGTTCATCACATCAGATGCTGTTGCAAAGGAGCTGAGTTCCTATTGAGTGTGAAAGGGGTTTGTTTATAATTTATGGAATTTAAATGATGGGCCAAGAAAAAGTCTGGTTTGTGCCAAAGTATATCTCTCTTCTAGAYTGCTGATGCTTGTACATACATTGTAAAATGCCACTGATCTTGCTAAAGTTACATTACTTCTAATAATTAGGTTATCATCATGGACTTCTACTGCATTACAAACAAGACGCCTCTGCCAGAGTCATGGAGAAGAAAGTGAATTTATTTACAAGAAGATTCTCCCTCATGTATGCTCCTCCTCCTCCCCCACTGGAAATCATGTCTGCATTCCCCGTCTTTCTGCAACATTAAAGTAAATCAGGTCAGTGTGCCTAGTAACACTGTGTTTGTGGTCACAGTTCCTCTGAACTCCCTTCCTTCTCCCGATCTCTAAACAATGTAATGAAGGACCTACAGTTTAAGTTGTAGCAGTTTGACTAACAACCWACAGAGCACAAAGCGAAAGGGGAAAGGACACTGGGTGTCCTGCAGAAATGGTGGTGCTTTGCTGTTTCGCAGATAGGAGCAGGTGATGTGAAATATATTGTGTTTCAAGAACACACAAAAAACCTACATGGACAATTTCAGTTGTGGGTAAATTGATTACAGAAAGTTTCGGAGAGACAAGCATATGTATATATTTATGGACTATTACAGAAGTCTAAATCACAAGTAGTGTCTAGCATTACTTTTTGTGTTTGCATGTTTTGTTTACTCCTGGGTGGCGCTTCCAAGAAACAGTTTGTGTGGGAACTTCCATAGAATACAATTTTAGGGCTTTAAAGGGTTAAAATATTTTTCCAAACAAAGCCGTTTATTCCGTTCTGTTTTGTTTACAGATCTGTAACTCATATGTCCAAATTTGCTTGGTTAAAAGTGAAATTTAACAAAAGATACACTTCTCACTGTGTATTGTTGAAATCCCACAATGGGGAAAATAAAACCCTAAGTAGTATTTCAAATCGTTAGCCTTCAGCTGAACATAAATACCAAATTGCGAGCAAGAAAGCAAGGATGGGAAAGAAAAGAAGAATAAATAAAAGAAACTTGTCTGTGTCGACCAGGATTGGAGGTGGTAAAATTTTTCTCACAATAGGAATGCCAGTTCTGTCATTAGAGGATGGAGTAGGAGCTGCAGTGTTTGTCAAACTGGAAAGTGGTGCTTCAGACGCTTTGGTGGRGAATACAGAAGTTTGGATTAATATTTAACTCGACTCGTTTAGAAAGGGATAAGAATAGTCTTCTCAGAGCAACATGTACTATCAGGAAGAGACTTTAATCACAGCGTTTACAAAAGAAGTATCTCTGTAAATCGAGCGAGGAGTTCAATACAGCCGTGTAACCAGAGAGGAGGAAACACGAGGGTTCAGAGCATTGTTCCCATTCTTTTTTTTTTTCTATCTTTTTATCTTTTTTTTTTTTTTTTTTCCCCGTGTTAACTGTCCTGTTTGTGGCAGGGAGAGGTGGCGGTGCCCCTGTGCTGCGATCAGGCGGGATGGGACTGCCCTTGCCGGACACCGGGCGAGCGCGGCGGCACCGCCCGGCCACAGCCAGCACCCGGTCTCAGCGTCTCCCTTCGACTGTGTGTATCTGATTGTCAATTTTCATTCTAAGTTTTTATTTACGAAAAAAAAAGAAAAAAAGAAAAAAAAACCAAGATATAAAGCTCGGGCTCCCAAAGATGTCTAAAAATTGATTTATGGTTAGTATAAAGACAACAGTATAAAAATAAAGGAGGCGGCAGCTGCTGCGCGGATTGCTATGGAGACCCTAACGAAATTAGCACTATCAGAGGGTTTCTAATTTTTCTGCCTTCTAAGCTTCTAATTTCTATTTTGGATAACCAGAGTGTAATTTTTTTTAAAGGAAAAAAAAATAGCCCACCAAAATAATAATATGCGCGATAGATACCTAGCCAATAAATAAATGTTAACCTCACCGAGGTTTTTGTATGCAGGATTTGATCTGAAACAAGATGGCCAAGAGCCCCGCTTTGTAGATCGCCTCCTCAAAGCGGCTGCGCTTCCAAATAAAGGTGGCTTCACCCGGCTGAGCCAGCTGCCAGCCAAGCCACCGAGGTGCTCGAGTGGGGCCAGCCAGTTAGAAATAAATACTTTAAAAATACTTTCAATATTTTTTAAAGTGTAACGGTTCTTTGTGTGATGTCATAGTTTGTTTTACTCTATTAATGATTTACGACTTGCTGTCTTAATTAATCCTTACATAAACTACAAACACCAGCCACTGTTACAACTGTTCAAGACTACTCTCTCAACTAGTTCAGACCGATTATACTAAATAGGTGAAATGTAACTCACCACGGACCTGAATCCCTCTCCCGAAGTATTGGTGAAGAAACTCTACAAATACCCACATAAATACATTAAGACGAGGATAAATAATCAGTGATACAAAAAATGTCTCGCTGAAAACAATAAATACATATCATTTTGTCCAATGCAATCCTTACGTTACGGAAGAACTCATAAATTAACTTCTCTGAAATAAGCTTATGCGCGGGCGAGTTCCGACGGCTCACGACTGGTCTAAAATACCTCAGCATGACGCGCTGCTAACACTACAGCATCTCTAAGACTTACCTTCAAGTACATCATTACCAGCTTATCAGTCCCTCGGTTGGCAGTATATTGCACTGTCATGCTTAAAACAGCTCTAAGAGAAAGGCTCCTGCTCACGGACCTACTCGGGGCTGCGGAAGAAAGAAGGGAGCTGCTAGGGGAGACAAATCCACTAACACTGTTGGCACTCGAGAGCACAGTAATACTGTCCCGTCAGAAAAGTGAGGTAATGGAGAGGGGAGCGGGGCCCGCCGGCCGCCGCCCCGCTACAGATGCGTGAGTTTGGGCGCCTCCTGCATCCGTCCCTGAGAGGTGTGGTGAGAGGAAAGGTCCGTGTAGGTAGGGTGGGGGTCGCAAGGTCCGTGGTGGTGGCCACCCGGGATCTGGGCGGCGCAGCTGTAGTCCACGCTGGCGGAGGAGGGGTGCTGCAGGTGCCCCAGGTTGAACATAGGGCCTGAAGCTGGCATCGAGTCCACGAAGTTGCCCCCCACGTAGACGGGGCTGCCCTGCAGGCTGGGGTTGGCGAAGCCGCCGCCGCCGCTCTGCATGGGGTGGGGGTCGTACTCCGCGCCCGCGTAGCGCTTCTGCTGCGGCAGGCAGCTGCTCAGCGGCGCCGTGTAGGCGGCCAGCCCGTACATGCTCTGCTGGGACTTGGCGAAGGAGGTGGGCGAGGGCGCGTCGTAGCTGAGGCTGTTGACGCCGGGGAGCTGGCTGGAGTAGCCGACGTGGTTTGGGCCGCTCAGAGGGGGGCTGCGGTCCGGAGACTGTCCGACAGGGGAGTGCATGATGCCTTTGGCTTTCTGGTCCTTTTTGTACTTCATCCTGCGGTTCTGGAACCAGATCTTTATCTGCCGCTCGGTCAGGTTGAGTAGATTGGCCATCTCYACGCGGCGCGGCCGGCACAGGTAGCGGTTGAAGTGAAACTCCTTCTCCAGCTCCACCAGTTGCGCGCTGGTGTACGCTGTGCGCACCCTCTTGGAGGCCGGCCCGGGGGGACTCTTGTCCTCGCAGCTCTCTCCTGCAGGGAAGAGGCACAAGGAGACATTGGTCCCTTCCGAAAGACACCCTCCCCCTTCCTACCGGGGTSCCTCGGAAACCTGCTACCCCCTTTCGCTCCGTAGACACCCGGGGAGGGGGTGCAGAGGGCCCGAGGGTGGCCTCCCACTCCTGCCTGCCCGACATACACACCCTCCCGCAAATGCCTCCCCCCAGAGACCACCGGCGGCCATCCGTCCGGGCGTTCTCRGGACCCGCCCCCAGCCTGCAGCGCMCRGCAGGGCTGGGACCCCACAGCGGGGTGGTGGGGGAGASGAAGGAGATGGCGAGTAGGGGACAAGGCGCGGAGCCARTGGGCTCAGGCCGAAGGGTTGAGCCCAAGGGACCCAGCCCGGCTCCCCGGGCGAGTAGTGGGTCGGGGCGGGGGTGATGGGCTACCTGGGGGGGCGCAGGTGCTTTTCTGCTTGGAGTTCTGCCGGGACTCCTTCATCCACGGAAATATCTGCTTGCTGAGGGTGGCGCTGGCCGAGCCCGAGGAGTTGGGACCCCCCTTAGCTTTTTTCGGAGGGGGGACACTGGGAGGGGGGTTGGGCGGGGAGGAGGGCGGCAGGGCCGGGGGCTGATGGTCGCCGATCCCCGGGGGCTGACTGCCCCCGGGGCCGCCCCCGCCGGGCCGCATGCAGCTCCCGCTCAGCTCGCTGCCCTTGTGGGCCGGGGCGCGGCCGGGCGCCGAGCTCTGGACGGAGCAGGCGGAGCCGGGGTACTCGCCGTCCAAGCCGGCCTGGCCGTAGGGCTGGTGGGCCGTGCCGTAGGGGTAGGCGTCGGCCTTGCTGTAGGTGTAGCCCCCGAAGAGCCCCGCGTTGTCATAGTAAGCGGCTTTCTGCATCCTCTGCTCTGCGATCGCCGAGGCCCGCGGCCCCCGCTCAAATAACATTGACCGCCGCCCCGCGCCTCACGTCGTCGGCCCGGGCCACTCGCAGCCACCTGGGAGGGAAACAGCAGGGACACAAAAGAGACTTTCAGAAGGGGAAAACGGCTGGTAGCGCCTGGCGCGGACCGGCCCCGGCGTCCCCCGCACACCGGCACCCTCAGCCTCGGCCTTCCAACCTGGGCAGGGCTGGGAGACATCAAGGAAGGAGCAGGGGACCAGAGAACCGAGGGACACAAGGGGAGGAGCAGGGTCCCCAGGCAGGAGTCAGGGCAAAGTAGGGCACACCAGGGAGAGCGCAGAGAACACCGAGGAACGACCACGGTACTGCGGGGAATGAGCCACTCGAGAGCGATGGTACAGGGGGAAACGGAAACACATTGGCGGGAATCCATACAGGCCACCTTTTGAAGCATTTTGGGGGATGGTTTTGTTGCTGTGTTTTGTCTTGGGCCGTTCCCGCTTGAGTTCGGCTGGATCAGCCCCCACGGTTGCAGGCAAGGGCTCTCTCTCAGTGAGCGGCTGTGCTGGGTGGTGTCCCCAAAGACMCATCGGCCCATTTCGGCCGAGAGCACCCGGGCCCCCCGCCCGGCACGCGTGCGCACGGCTGTGCACGGTTGACATGATGGATGGAGCCCGGGCTGCGGCCGGGCAGAGGCAGAAAAATCCCGTCCCCTTTGTAAACCCGCCCTTCTTCTTTCYCCGGATTCCTCCAGAGTTAAAGTATAACCGGCGCCATTCACTGATTTCACTTTGCACTATAAAGGAAATCGCAGGTCAGCTCCTCTATTTTAATTCTGTGATGAATTAAATTCCCTCACCCAACGTTTCTCGTTCCTTTTATTTGTACGCAGTAGAAAGAACCTGAGACATYTGAGATAATTTTTAGAGGGGTCTTTTCTTTTTTCAGCCTGCAAACTTACGGCTCTTCCCTCCCCGCCCCACGGCTCTCACATGAGGCTGCTCCCACCKAAAACGCATGGTTCCCTTAGGGCAGATGTTTTGAGGCAGAGTGCTGTTACCTTTCTCCTTGCTGCTCCCAAAACTCCTGTGTGCTTAGTACAAGATGGAAACTACCTTAGTTTTGGTGCGGTTTTTTATTATTCCCCGTTCTTTTTTTTTTTTTTTTTTTTTTTTTTTTTTTTTTTTTTTTTAAAGAATGGTTTTCTCCAGCATTTCTGGTAATTTTGCAACTTAGTATATACTTCACCTGGCAATGTAAGTCTGTGACTCAACATACCGTCAGATTTCGTTGTATTTCTGCAGGATTTAAGCTTACTAACATACCCAAAAATTAGCTAGAAATTTTTGAAAGGTGTCCGACAATTATAGTTCACCAGCCTATACTGAAGCAATACTAAGAGACTACTCCTATTTCTCTCGCAAGTAGCGTTGGTCCCGCCAAGTACCGTTGATCTATTCTCTAAAATTCACCGGGAAACCCATCGCTGCAAGTCAAAATAACCTCAGCGAGCTGCGATCCACGGCCGCTCTCGGCGGTTTATCCCGTCACACAAAYTGCCGGGGTCCTTTTCTTTCCTAAACAAAAGCTCGAGATGATCTGTGAAGCTGATGGAAACGGGAACTGTTTTCTCTCCTGAAAATTTTTAGTTTAAAAAGTCTACAGAAATGGACGGTGGCGATATGGAGGAGTTTTAATATGGTGTGATAATCTTGACGAGTCTTAGAAGTATTTTTGTCCAAATTACTCTGTCGCTCTTTTCCCGCTTCTGTCATCTACATTTTCRGGGCCGGTCTGGACTGAGGACTTTTGTTAGCACAACACTGCCTTAAGCGTAGGCTTTTATATGCCTTGTGAAATATAGTTCCCAAAAGAATACACAGAATCTTAAGAAAGAATATTGCTGTTAAGCTGTTAAAAGCCTTATTTCTTTTCTGAAATACCAACTGCTTGTGAACTCTGCTTGAACCTAAAAAGGAGGCTATGGGCCATAAATCACATGGACAATGCTCAACTGTTTGGTGGCTCATCTTTAGATCTTAAAAAGAGAGAGAGGGAAAGAAAGAGGGAGAGGGAGACCTATCCAGGGTTTGATTTTCCACGAGTGAAAGGCCCGGGGTGATGTTTTTATAGGTAACACCAAAGCRGGGGCTCAACACTTGGTGGTTTGGTCAGAAAGAGTCTCCAGGGGAAAAAAAAAAAAAAAAAAGTGACATCCAAATGGTGAGGCCGAACCGTGGGAGGTGGGCTCGAAGGCACCGAGGGTAGGAAAYCGCAAAGTATCCATGTCTGTGTTTCAGATTTCCCTTCCTTCTCTCCAGAAAGGTTAACCTCATCTGAACTGTTAGRCGTTGCACATGAGAATGGGGCTTTTTGTCCTGCCACTGGTTCCATCGCTTTTGGGGGATGCCGACCCTCTCACGGCTCTGCCTGGAGAGCAGCTGGGAGCCCAAGCATCCACCCGCGCGTGTGCGCGGCTCCCGGCTGGCCCAGGCTGACACCGGCCCGCACTGCCAGTCGCTTTCCTCCCGACACTTTCATATTAAGCAGTTCTCTACTAAAACTTCCACTACACTTAATTCTGCTTCGGATCAATATCTAATATGATACCGAATAAATAAGAGGCGGTGAGAGCGGCCAGCGAAGCGGTTATTAAAGCAGCCGGAGCTCTCAGGGTGCATATCAATGCACCTGTCATTGCGGTTGTAACAAAATTTATGACTGCTAGCGCCGTGGCAGTAAACGCTCCGGCCAGGAATGAAAAGGAAAACACTTCCCAAGCCCCGGCACTTTCAGAAGTGCAAAGCAGCCGGTGCGTAGGAGGAAGCCCGGCAAAAGAATCCCCCGCTCGGCACGTTTCTCGGCCGCCGGCCCGGGGCAGCCCCGTATATAAGGAAAGCGCTGGAGCCGCCGCCGGACCCGGCCGCAAGCAGGGCAGCTGGGCACCCGCCGCTGGGGCTGCGCCWGAGCCGGGGGATGTCTCGTCTTTGAGAGCACTGGGGAGTGCGGAGGGGCCGCGAGATACGGAGCTGTGGCGGCTGTGGGGTCTCTTAAATCAGCTACGGAGCCCCCGAGGGAGCCACCCGCTCCCCGCGGCTGGGTCCAGGCCTTGGCTRCTCCCCAGCCGAGCTCGGCTTCGGCGGAGCAGGGGCTGCTTTCAGCGGGGCTTTCTGCGGGCTGTTCTTTATCTAACGTGTGGGGCGGCGGCGCGTCCCGGTTGCCGCCGGCGGGTTCGACCGAGTAGCTCTCCCCGCTTGGCGGGCAGGGCCGGGGCCGGGGCCGGGGCAGGGACAGGGACAGGGACAGGGACAGGGACAGGGACCGGGGCCGGGGCAGGGCCAGGGACAGGGGCCGGGCTGCGCTCCCTGCGACGGGCCTGTCGCTATAGGGAAAGCGAGAGACGGATGGAAAAGGAAGTTTAGAGAACTCACCAAACTTACGTTTTTTCTTGATTTTTGACTTTAACTGTGTGAGTAGGATCTTCAGGTTCCTTTGGATAATCCGTGGGCACGGACCTGCAACAGAAGTGATAACTCTCAGCGGAAACTGCTTTGTTTTGGACTTTCTTCCTTAGGACTTTGTTAATAAATGCACATCTCATCCGCAGCCCTTCACCGTGTCTCTCCGTCCGCGCCAGATCTTTTGGGCAGACAAAGGGCAGATGTTTCTCTTCATTTATTAATAGCGCTTTGAGAAAGGCGTAGAGCAAACAAACGTGCAAAATACTCCGTTTGCGGGTCGGAGCCGGACAGGGCGGCCTGTGGCAGCCGCTCCGACGGGCCCCGCGCACCGGTCGCGGAACCGCTCCTGCCTCCCCGAGCCCCCAGTCCAGCACAGGCCGGGGTGCGAGGAGGCAGCGCACGGGGACGGGAGCGCCTTTGCAGGGGAGCTGCGGGCACCTTCGACGGTCACAAGCACCTTTCCCGACGTCTGCACCCACGGCCCACAAGGAGCTCCGCGGAAACGAAGTTAACGCGTGTTCTCTCTCCCTTTCTCCCCCCAGATACCGAATAATACAGAGAGAAAGATAAGCGAAGAAGCCCCAGCATTGAAAAYACGCTGCAAACATTTGCGTCTCGCAATGAGTATTTTGCCTTTGTCTATGCAATGTGTCGATTCAGGATTTTAAGAACTTAAGAGTGTCAGAAAATCCCCCACAAAGAAGTCCAGGCCATTATAAAGACGATATCTAGCCACCATAAGCCTTTGAAATGACCTTTGGCTCATATAGCAATAACTCACCACTTAATGAACAACCAACGGAAGCGCCTCCGATAGCTCACAACACAACAGACCTTACAACTTTCCACCAAGTCTTCTGTCTCCCTAAACAAACTCAGTAGGATGCTACATTCCCCTTCCAAATCACCTTAATTTATGCTGGCAAACTGGAGTTAGGGAAGTGGAGCTTCATGATTACACATGATGCTCGCTCAGGTTCCTGGCCCGGGCCTGTCCCAGTAACGTCTTATATAATGTATTCACGTGGGCGTACGTCAACTTTAGGTGCTTTATTTTTTTTTAAGAGAATTCATTAGAAATAGCACTTTACACGGTGTTTGAAGGCAACCTAAGGTGGGTTGCACTATAGCCCCTGAGCGGAGAGATCATAATATTGCAAACCGAGCCATTGTTAGCCGCTGTTGATTAACACGGTAAGTTTTCATTTTGTGCCTAATTAATTATCGACTTCTCATCCCTTTCCGAAGCAGCTTCTCAGCCTCACAAGCAATAGCCTTCTAGCTCTAGACATGCTTTATTTAGCCAGAGCTTGGCCAAATACCAAGACTTCCACGGCCACAGGAATAACCCTCAAAGTTTGTACTGCAGGGAGAGGAGTCTGGGCACGCTGGGGTTGTGCTCGGCTTCCAGCACTCAAAGAAGACATCGCCAGAGCTGAACCCAGGGAAATCTTTAGAATTATTCAGGCGTGGGACCAATATAGGTATTATTGAAATTTTAGGTGAAGTTATAAGTGAGTGCTTCCATCGAGCCAAATGAAATGCTGCTTGTAGTAATTGGATTCAGCTGACTAACTTGGCAGGCCAGCAGCTTGGAGGCATAGAGCTAAGAAAAATGTACACTGCTTTTAACTTTTGATCGAGCAGAGCAACACGCAATAGAAAATACAAATAAATAAATAATCACCCTAACTTCCTCCTTTTCTYCTGGCCTCCCACCCTGTTTCCTTCGGGACACTCCGACCCCCGCCGAGGACTCGCCCGGGTGACTCGGGGCGGGCAGGGTCCGTTCCAGCCTTACACACACCCATGCTCGACAGCACAACGCCGGGCTTTACGCAGGGGCTTTACAACAGACATAACCGAGAGTTCACCCGGCTCCAGGCAAACCACCAGTCAGTAGAAACAGGCGTTCCTGGGAGAATCGGGCTAGTTGCAACAACCCAAGCGAGAGCTGAGCTGTAAGTGTATGCAGGGAGGCTATGTGGTCGCTTCCAGACACCCAGTCCGTCCAGAGAGTCACTGATCCCCCCCAGGCATCTTCCCACCGCCTTATTGATCAAACCACACAAATACAGGGCAAGAAACTTCTCGGTAGATAAATATCAAGTGTGTAACTCGAAGGCATGAGCATACCGGTAATAGCAGTACTAAAACAGCAGCGGAAGGAAAACAACAGCCACTAAGGAACACGAATGCACGGCGAGGGAAAAAGGTTCGGGAAGACACTTGGCACGAATATTTAAGAGATCCTATGTAGGAGCTACATAACCGATGAGCCTATTTTAAATCACCCTTTACAAATCAACACGGCTACCCCCTGCGCGGCTAACCACGGCAACGCATTAACGTGATGCTCAATCTCACTTTGGCAATGGGAGCATCTAGCAAAGTTGYCTCTCCCTCGTTTGTTTGCTCGTTTGCTTATTTGTATTTCCCTTCCTGAAATCACCGAAAATTGAGGAAAGGATAGGGTTAAACGTATTCCCCTAGCCTTTGGAAAGGAGTTCACTTTTTATTTAAAGAACATAGTAAAAAGAAGTTACAGCTTAAAACAGTTCAAGTAGGTGGAGACCAGTCCATACATTCGCAGCCTCTATGGGCAGATTGCAAACAAATTCCAGACCGTCTCTGAGTAAAGGAGATAATACAGCCCCTGCGGTTAAACGTCCCATTTTGTCATGCAGTTGCTTACCTGTGTATCAATTTATCATAAACCTGGGTTCCTCACTTTTCAGGATCTGCGCTTGCAGTTCTTATATCCTYCACCCTTTGTCTGCAGACAATACTCTCCTAAACCTGATCTTGCGGTTTTACAAATATTTCCATACACCAGAATTCCCGATAGAATAAAAACAGGCTCAGGCTCAGCTACCAATAAAAGAGAGCGAGTGGAAATCGGAATTTGTTGGGCTTTAAAAAAAAAAATAAATAAACACACAACCCTTTAGCCATCAGCCTCCTGGAACCAACGACGGCAATTGGCCGGCTCCTGTTTTGTTTTGGTTTTAAATCGTGCGGCCATTGATGAATTTTGGGGGCGAGCAGGAGAAATCCCTTTATAATCAGAAATATAGGCACTGCCTTAAAATACAGGCATATTGGCCCACGTGATCGCAAAGCAGCGCGCCGGGGCCGAGGCTGGCGCGCTCCCCGCGCCCCCGCGCAGCGGGGCTGCCTGGCCGGGCCCCGTGGGGCGGGCGGCCCCCGCTCCCCTGCGCGCCCGCCCGCGCTGCCCAGCCCGCTCCGCACCGCTCCGCACCACGGCCGCGGCCCCGCACTTACGTGCCCCGCGGGGCTGGCGGAGCAGGGGAAAAAGGTGAATTCCGCGTGATGATCCCAGCGTGCAGAAATTCCCAGCGGAGACAGAGGAGGTATTTGGAACCGGCTGCGGCCGGGAGCCTGTGCTGGGGGCAGCTCCGCAGCAACGCTGCTCTGGCGGATAGGCGCCGGGGCCCACTGGCGTGCGCGACTTTTTGCTTTCTCCTTCTGCGGACCGGGAAGATGAGGGGCAGCGGGGACTACYCCTGTCTGGAGGCTAAACAAGCGTTGGGGAGAAAAACCCTCATGACATTTGTGTCTGTGTGTGTCTGCCCTGAGCCTGCCTCCCTGTTCTGTGTGAATGAAGAGACATGAAGCAAACCCTGGGTATATCTGCCATGTGTGCCCACAAAGCTCCCCAACAATACCAGTTAAGCAAAAGAAATACATATATATATATATATGTAAGCTTCTCTGTTTGATTTTTTGGTAACATATCTGTAGCTATAAATACACCGCACCTAATCTAACATCTGCTATGATTTCATTACCATCCAAAGCATGGGGATGTGACAGTAATGTATTACCTTACAATACTAACCGTAAGTGCATTGTAACATTTATCTAAATTACATTGCTTTTCCTGACTTTGCAAACCAGTTATAAAAAGATTGGAGTCCAGCGATGGAAACATAAGTTCAATGTAAATTATTGTGTACGGCTTCGGATTTATAATCCCATATTTCTTCGAAATGATGCACTTAAATCTCGCCTCAAGTAAGAGGTAATGGTTCTTTATATCCTTTTCAGTCAGCCATATATTTTGGTGTCTGGGTAGTTTTGCCGAGCCCCCCGCGCTCGCGTGTCTGTGTGTACATACAGAACCCCTACACGCACAGCGTGTTCTGCATACTTGTGTACATGCACACAAAGCCGAACATAATTCTGGCCGCTGTTTAGACATTTTGGATGACGGAAAGGTCTTCAGCTTCCTACACAAAAGTGCGAGGGGAAAAGATGGACACGAGCAAAGAACGCGAAGAGGAATCAGAAGAAAATGCCTTTTTGGAGGGCAGTTCGGAAGCCCCCGGAGAAAGCCTCACAGCCCTTCGGTGTCTTTTGAGAGTCTAGTGCTTAAAAAAAAATAAAAAATAGAGAGAAAAAGAGAAAAAAAAAAAGAGAGAGAGAAAGAAAAAAAAAAAAAAAAATCACACACACACACACACACACACACACACACACACAGCCAAAAAAAAACACCCCGGCAAATTTAACGTGAAAATGGAGGATGGCTGAAAGAAAGGAGAACCTTTGCCACCACCTTTGCCAGAATTAAGATATCGTAAAGGGGACTGAAAAAGTATTAAGGAAATGTTAATCCTTTGGCTGGTGGGACTCCAGCTTTGCGCGAATTTGTCTCCAGTAAAGGATCTAAGACTTCTTCAATCGGAGCATATGTTCATAGAGCAATAAAACAGAAAGATTTACAGTCTCCGCCCGCCCCCCAGCAGCCTCGCACCCTTTCAGGAATTACTTATGATGATTTATAACAACAACTCCTGCAATTGTCAAACTGATAAAATAGCCCGGGCTATATGCGAGAATAAACGCTCTTATGAAAGGGTTGCGATTTATGTTCAGGTCCATTTTACTGCRTGTCTTGGTGGAGTTTGGTTTCTTTCCCGGACCAACAGGATAATATAAAACTTCATTGATAAAAATGTAGGAGTTCTCGTGAAGTAGCAAATCTGTTCCTTAGTCAGTACCAAAGCATATAAACATTTGTCATCTTTGAATAATTGAATTAATGTGTTATTGTTTGAATGTATAATTCATACCATAGGAAACTTTGTCTCTGTCCTGCCACCAAAACGGAAGCAATAAAAAGCTACAATCTAGGGTTTTTTAGAAATTACTCCAGCAAGGGATAATAAAGAATATCCTGTTTGCAGAAGGTATTTCCAGCTGACTGGGATTTCACAGAGAAATCTCAGACTCGTCCGTATTCTATGGAGTTTATACAGAGTGGCTTTGTATAAAACCACAAATGCTATTTTTCCGTAATCCGGGCTATTGATCGGGAACTTGCAAGCGGGCATGCCCGCCTCGGGGGCTGGCTGCAGCCGGACTCCCCGCAGCCCCGCGCCGGGCGGCGAGGCTCGGCTGGCCGAGGCAAGAGCGGCCGGAGCGGCCGGGGCAGCGGGGCCGGAGCGGTCTTTGTGCGGGCAGAGGAGGAAAAGCGCGAGTGGCGCTGACTCCGGCCCCGCTGTCAAACATGCACGGCAAAATTTACGACCCCGCTTGCGAAGGAGCTGAGCGCCTTTCCCCTCCGCTGGGACCGGGCAGCGGCTGCCCTGACAGCCGCATTGTTTCCTCCGCTCCGCGCCTCTCCGCGCAGGCAGCCGCGGCCGGAGCCGCCACTCCGGGAGGCGCTCTGGCTCAGCCTCCCTGCTCCGCGGCGCTCCGCGCTTGTCCTCTTTCCCCCGCTCCCTGGGAAGCAAAGGTCATCGCTTGCGCCCGGTCCGGTTCCCGGCCGCTGCCGCGCTGGAAATCAGGAAGCAGCGTGCCCTATTTGTCAAATGTTTGACAGCTGAGTTCATTAAGGCTTAAATAAGGAGGAATAAAAGTAAAAATTATTTACGTACCAGGCGTCTCTTTTTCAGCAGCTACCAAAGAGCTAGGTGTGCAGGGAGAGGGACTGCACCCTTTGTATATTATATTCTTGGGATCTCTTCAGTTTTCAAGTCTGATAGAGTCCTTTGCTTGGCAGATTAATGACGACTCCGTGTTTCTTAAGGGACGTGCTGAATTAATTATTTCGCAAATCACGTGGTCAGGACTTGTAGAGATCTATTCTTATCATCTTCCTTGCACTTTGAAATTCTGCCTGTTATGACTGTTCCTAGCAAGATTATTTTGGTCTCTAGGCTTGGGGGGAAGGAGGAAAAAAAAAAAAAAAAAAAAAAAAAAAAAGGGAAAAAAATCAGGGGAAAGGGCTAACAAACATGGCCGTTGGAAGCGGTGTGGCTCTGCACCGAGAGGTCCCTATTTACAGTGCTTTACAGTGAGTGGGGTTTGCTATTGACTCTGCCTTTCCTCTTCATTCTTACCTTAACGACTAGTGGTGATATAATATACAGAACTGTATTGATGTATCGGGAGTAACAGGAGGAGCCATTAAGCAGCAGAAAGAGAAAGTATAATCACAAGATATGCCTCAATATTTAAACTTAGAGAGTGTGTGCTTAGAAAGGCAACCTCACCCTCCCCTCGGTGCGCTTGGGCAGAAAGGGCACATGCTTTCTGCTGTGCACCCTGCTCCTTGCCTGGGCTGAGCCAGAGACTGTATTTTTGGACTCGTGCCTTGACCACGCTCCAGGAGAGGACAAGCCCTCACTGACAAGTACTTATGACAAAAATAGTGCAATCGACTTCTCCTGGCTACTTGTATGTGTTATTGTCTGAGGTGCTTACACACGGAGGAAAAAAAAATATTTGCCGTAGGTGCATGGGAAAGTTTAAAGCCTCCAAGTTGTGTTTTCTTGTGATCTTTCTTTTGTATCAGCTGTCAAAGTGAGGGTTACTGCTCAGGAAAAGCTACTCTCTGCATGCCAATTTGAAATTTCCATTTATTTAATTGATCCKTTCCAGGACTCACCTAAAAGACACACATCTATGTGGGCATCGAGGTGACTTCAGGTGTGGCTCCTTGCCTCCTACCACACATGCAGAAATCCGGGAGTCATTCTAGGAGGGCTTGTTAAATGCAAAGCAGCAGCAAATGGATGACAGGCACTTTTAACTGCAGCCTAGAAGTAAATATAGACTCCAGCTTGACCTAGAGTCACACCATTATGGCTGAGGCAAACAGCAAACCTGTTCAAAGGGACATTTGGAAGGATGCTATGCAGAGTCACTCATCTTTTAACACTGTAATGATGGGAGGGACCAGCATTTTCACAGAAGAGAGACCCACCTTGTAAGGACTACTCGCTCAAGGTACAAACTAGAATCTATTTCACTACACCTTTTATTGTTTCAAAAGTGTGTGGAGGGCTTACATCAAAACTACAGGCGACAGTCAGTGTAAATAACGCTTTAATCAATGGCAGCAAAACATCAGTGAAGTCTATAAAAAGCATCACACTCGAACAGAGATGAGAGTAGTGCTGGACAATGGCACCGTTTAACAAAGGCTCACAACGTTCACCCGTGATAAACAAAATAACAAGCTTCCCTTCATACATAAAATAACTCTGGAGGAGGGTTAAAACCATTAAAAAATAAACCTCAGGTTCGTTTTGCACGGAAGATAACGACCAGTGGGTGCTCCTGGTCATTATTACAGACATTCCTGATCATTCAGAGCAATAGCAGCTGGAAACTATTTATTTTTGGTACTGTCTGTCTCCACAAAATCTCCGCTCTTCTGGTGTAATTACACCTATGTAGACCTATAGTGCTCCGGCCTCGCTCAAAGGGGACTTGCAAACAGGGTTGTAAGAGCTGTGCCTGCTGAAGCCAACACTCGTCCTGGAGTTATTAACATTTCAAAAGACAATGAGACAAATTCTGCTCGCAGCTACATCCTTGTTTGACTTCAGTGGGCGGGGGAAGGAAATCTGGGAGCAGAAGTTGGTCCTTTAACTTAAGGAGCCATCTCGGTTGATTAGTAGCACAAAGCAAGGATTTTCTTTTTCAAGGCCTTTATTTTCCAGAACTGTGCCACGGATGCCAAAGTTGGTAGGTCTCTCTCGAATGACATTTTTGCCCTGCTCTCAGCCAACTTATCAGACTTTTAGACAACAGCAGGGGTCCGGGAGGAGGATTTCCAAGAAGAGCTGCTAGAGGGGTTTAACTTCCCCACATTCTTTTTTCTTCTTTATTTCAATAGACACCAATGAAGAGCAAAAGGATGACTTTGAGCAGCTCTGGAGAGGAAAGGCCACTATTGCGGGAAACTGGTATAACGAAAGTTGAAAACTTGTCTCAGGAATTCCCTCCTCAAGCGCTGCTGCTAGCTGCTCTCCATGCCAGAGAAAGGGAAGGGTAGTTTGGGTCCAAAAGGTTAAGGGTTTAGAGGTCACTCTTCCCGGCTGAAATACAACTAATCGAATAGAAAATTTGTCCTCTGGGTGAACCTGTTCCTGCAATTTAGCCGAACTTCAGTAAAATACCTTTTCAGCTTCTCAACGTGAAGGCGTCAGAAAAAAGACGTCTTTACTATGTATGAACTCGGTGCTTTTTGTCATAGAAACAATGATGCGAATAATGCGGGAATATCCATCTTTAATATCACGACGTGGAGATATTCAAGTATTGCCATGTGCAAGTCTGAGAACTGGGCTAACCCTAAGGAAGAACAAAGAGTTTTCTCCAGGCTCTAAAACAAAAGACCAAGTCTTAAAGACACTTTGCGGACTTCAAGGGATGAGAAAAGGGCAGAAATTAACTGCTGGCCAGAGTTAAAGTTGCCGAATACACTCTTGTTGAAAAGCTCGCCTTTTATTTTCGAATTAGTTTAAGCCCATTTTGGCTMGTGTTTTCCCGAGCGAGCCCAGAAAGCCGGGAGTTCTCAGTGGGAAGCATCCAGCCTGGAGAAGGGCACGTTCACTCACCCCCTGCTCTTTCTACCTCTCTTCAGTGTTTGCCAGGAGTTTCCTTCTTTTARCACTTTTCTCTTTAATAAGGGAATCACCTCGCTACAATTTCGACGAGGTGGTTCCTCTCCTAGGCTGCCCTGAGAGTACAGGAGATAAGGGCTGAGCTTTAAAATCGCCTGAGCGAAGGTGTAAATGGCTCAGAGAGCTGGTTTAGCTTGGTTTTGTAGTTACAGCGCACTAAAACTTTRGCAACCAGCAATTAGGGATAAATTCATGGGTATTAGACTAGCTATGCTCCCATCCCAGCCTTCCCTCTTTCCTAAAAGCAACTTACTGAGATTTCCAACCATTGCAGTCATCTGTCACGGTTTGCTTAAAAAATAATCACTGTTCTTTAAAAAAACAAAACGAAACAAACAAAAAAAAAATAAAATAAAAAGCCCACAATCCACCCAATCTAAAAAATCCACCCAAACCTAAAAACTAGAGAAACCAAACCCACAAAAACCCAACAGCCAAAATAAACCCAAAACAAAACAAAGCAGCAACCCACATAGACTGTCTCTCTCAGAAAAGAAATTTAAAATCTGATTGTTAGAATGTGTTCAGTTTTCATCTTTGAATGGCCCAGTTTATATCAGAAATTGCATTAATTTCTCAATCTGGGTTGCTGGTTTGAGTTGTTGTTTTTTAGGTTTGGTTGTTTTTTT